AATCACAAAACTGGTTACAATTACCTACATCTACTTGTTGTAACTTTCGTAAAACTCCCTCTGACGCATGACCTAATCTTTTGTGCCACACCATCTCTTTACTCAAAATTGCTACCGCCACCTTGCTCTCCTTGAACGAGTCCAAGTAATACAGTCCTCCATGTTCCTTACCCGTCCCAATCAGGTTCCTCGAACATAAGTCCTGAATGTAACATGTTTTTGGTAAGAAAGTTAGTGAGCAGTTCAAATCATTTGCAAGCTTACTCACAGATAACAAGTTACAATTAAAATTTGGAATATTCAACACATTTTTCAGATCAAACCCATTTGGCAAGTGAATGTTTCCAACATGTTTAACTGGTATGGATGCACCATTAGGAATGGTGACCGAAGAGTTATGTCGATTGGTTTTGACAGCTTTTAACCAATCTTTATGAGGGGTAATATGGTCAATGGCCCCTGAATCGATAATCCAAGAAGTTTGGTTTGCATTCTTACCAGTCATGCAGGCTTTGGAATTAATCTTACCACTCATGTTAGCTTTGGGATGATCATCAACTGTTTTGGCAGCCTTTAGCATTTTTATAAGGTTAGCATACTCTTCCTTTGTGATTGTTTGGTGACCAAAATCTTCTGTAACAGCAGCAACCTTAGCTTGCGTCCCTTTTTTTCTGTTTGGTTTTTCATGTTTGTGGTTTTTGTGTTCCACCATTCTGGATAGCCAATAATCTCAAAACAACCATCTATCACGTGTCCTGATTTCTGGCAATGTGTGCACCATCTGTCTTCATTCCTAACAGTTTTGTTGCGATTATCTTGTTTAGCCTTCAACTGTGAACCAATTTTACCAGATTGACGAGGATTGTATTTTCCTGCTGCTTGAAATGCCGAAGATTCTGAATTAGTATTACGTGCATTGCCGATTTGTCGTTGTTGTTCGTCTTGGCTGACAAGGTGATATGGAGTATTTAAAGTAGGAAGTGGGCTGCTACTAAGGATTTGAGTTCTTACTGCATTGAATTCTTCATTCAATCCCATAAGGAAGTCGTATAAACGTTCCTTATCGCGGAGTTTGGCGATTTCCTTATTAATTTCACACTTGCACCCGGTACATGAACAAGACGGGATTTGGCTGATAGATTGAATTTCGTCCCATACACCTCTTAACTTCGTGTAATAGGAGGATACACTCAAGTTGTTTTGTTGTATGCTAGTGGCTGCACGTCGAAGTTCATATGCTCGTGGAGCATTTTCTTTTCCAAATCTCTCCTTCAGATCTAACCAGATGTCACGAGCTGTTGCAGCGTATTTCACACTGCTCTTTATTTCTTTCTCCATGGAGCTCACCAGCCATCCTCTCACCATCGCGTTGCATCTCCTCCAGTTGGTTAAGTCTGCAGAATCTTCCTGTGGCATGAGTAAAGTTCCATCAACGAACCCTATCTTGTTCTTGGCAAAAAGAGCATTAGTCATCTCGTTTTCCCAATCACCATAATTCCCATCCCGTAAGAGGTTTTCTCCTACAAAATTTTGTCCCAGGTGATCAGAATTTGTGAGGAAGTAAGGCGAAGATATGTCAAGAACCGACTTGTCTCTTCCTGTGGAGGACTCCGGCTTGTCTCCTACTGCCATTCTTATCGAGCACTAGGATTGTATTCCCAGGTATTGATCTGATACCATAATAAAACTAAGATCAAATCTGAATTCTTCTTTCATAAATTAAAATACGATTACAATGGGATCCTTTTATAATCAAGGTATCCTTATCAGATAAGGAAGCCAGCTATACTAAGATAACGATAATCTTGTTCAACAAGAAATAATCAAAAGATAATGACATAAATTTAAATCTCAACAAGATATATTTCAGATGCTTCCTCGGTTGATTTCTAGCCCTAAACATCATCGTTCAGGCCTGTAGATGAAAACATCGACTGCGACGTAGTCGAAGCCTGACGATCGCCGGCTCCAATCCTAGCTATTTGCAGTGAATCTGCTTCCATGGTCGACACTTGAACGCTCTTCTACCATGGATTCCATCGTCGTACTCAGTGTTATAAAACTCGCCGAGTTGGCCGAGTACTCCTCCGAGTACTCACTACTCGACCCCTTACCGATGTGAGTTACTGAATCCCGAGTACTCCCCGATCGGCCTCTTACTGAACCGATCAGTGTTGTAAAAATCGGTCAACTCTGTGATTAATATATATAAATATACTAAATGATTTATTATTTAACACACACATATAATTATTACTACATATATATCTTAAACTTTCAGTAAATATTCACGAAGTGAGACCATTATGTGCTTTTCAGTTTTTGTGTATTCACAGTATCTGATTTTGTTATATATTTCAATCAACTTATGATTTGAACTTATAATTTTGACATATATAATTTCCCTAAAAATATTTCTACATGAATTACCGAATCCGAGTACTCCCCGAGTACTCCCGAGTACTCGCTACTCGGTAGTTGGCCGAACAGGTACCGAGTAACGAGTTCTACAACCTTGGTCGCACTCAATAAACTGCGGATTCTGGTCCGATTACATGGTGTCGGAGGCGGCGCCTGACGGTGGTGGTGGTGATGTCGTCGAAGATGGAGAGGGCAATAGTGGTTATTATGTTAAGAAGGTGAGGACTGGCGGCGGTGGTTGTTATGTTAAGAACGAGATGGATATAACCACACATTTCATAAAGCCCTCATATTTACATAAAAGCCCTGGGGTAACCGGCTACTTGTTTCAACCTGCTAAAAAGGTTAAAATGGAAAAAAAAAATAGAAAAATATGAGGCATTAATGAACATAAAAACAGATTAAGGAGATAACCACACATTTTATATAAATGTGAAGGCTTTTATGATAATAACTCTTTAAGAAAATGACTAAATTACACATAAAGTTAAATAGGTTAAATAACTGCTAAACCTAAATATATGATAATATTCCCCTTAAAATCTCAATGTGATATCAATAAACTTTGATAGATGAGAAAAAATTATAAACCCAAGTTTGTCTTACTAAACATATCAACATTTTGCAAAACGGGAAAAATATAGGACAATCAGATGATTCCGAGTTAAAAATAATGGTGAGTGAAATAATTGTCAATCATAATATGTTTTGTATGCTCATGGAAAATATATTATGAGCAATTGCATATAAGTTATGTTGTCATTCTATAAGGGTGTGCTAAGAAATATCAACACCCACATCTGCATATAACTATTGTAACCAAACAATCTCACAAATAGTAACATCCATAGAATGATATTCGATCTCTATGAAGGAATAAAAGACAATATTTCGTTTTTTACTCTTCACTTATATAAGAGAATCTTCAAGAAATTAATTTAAAGAAACTACTGATAGACTTATGATTCCAATCAAGATTATTGTAAGTATGCAACTATAAAAAGGATATGGAAGGAACTATACATATGACACAACTAAGATAAAATCTATTTCATAAAAGGTTTATTCTATATGAACCCTCATTGCTTAGTGTATCCTTTATGTGAGTTGGTATATGTGTGTGTCGGTGTATGATTTTTTATGTGAGTGGAGTGTATATATATTAACACCCTTCATAAAATGACTAAAGTATCAATAGACTTAAATTTGCTAAATAATTGTTAAATAAAGGAAAGTCTTCGGTAAGTCTTTATATTTTGACATATATTCGGTTAAGCTATATTATTTTTACCAAGCCAAAAAAAACTTACAATTATTTACACATTTGAGTTTTTACCCGGTAAACAAAATCACCGGATGAATATGAGGGTTTTTCACAAATATGATCAAAATTTAAGAACTTTTTTAATAATATTTAAAATTTTAATATTATCTTATTATATTAGTATATTTTTTAGTTCGATGGATTTTGCAGATATATTACCAAAAGTGGTGGCTTAGCCTATCGCCAAAGACAAGCCCTCTCCCATATAACCAACCATGACAACCGACGAAGACGCTACGATCGATGTGAAAACCATTGAAGAATCTTGCAGTGGCGAATCTAAAATTCAAATTTATGGGTGTCCAATTCAATCAGATGATAAATAAAATAGTCAAAATGTTTGGTTAATTATCAGGTCGGATTGTCAATAATATTATCTAAATAAATTATAATTTGAATACCAAATAACAAACATAAGTTCAAAAATACCATCTTAGATAAATATAATTCTAATAGCAAAAACCAAACACAATTTTAAAGATATCATCTAAAATAAATAAATTTTAAAAATGATCATCCATTTGCCAATGACTGTTTGTTTGTTTTTTTTTTTTTTCTTTTTTAAGTTGAGTCGTGACTTAATTATTGTATCCATATGTGAATTATTAAGTAACGATGATTGGAATTAGATATATTGAGTTATCTTATGGAAAATGAGTGTAGAGTTATTTTGCGAAAATGAGTGTAGAGTTATTTTGTGAAAATCAAGCTCAATCATTAATTGAGGTGTGAAACCATATCTTCATAGAAAAATTAGTAAATGGTAACAGGTGTTCATTTTTATCTGTTTAGTTATAGAAGCTTCTTCTATATTTAAATTTAATTTTATATTACCCTTCTCTTATGAAAACAAAGGGTGTCCATGGACACCCTTTCAATCAACGTAGATTCGCCCTTGCTTGGGAGCCTAGTGTGATATGGACTCCATTCTTAGATCGAAAGGTCTTTGGTTCAAAAACAGAACAATGAAGCATTCAGGAGTTGAAGTTTTGAAAACATTGATTTATTGAAATAAATTACTAAAATTATTTTATCATGAAGAATCCATAAGAATTTGCACACGGATGAATAAAAATGGACCTAATTACAAATTACATCCAAAAGAATTTGTCAATTTGCACACGAATGAATAAAACAGAAAATTATTATATTAATTTATGAGCAAAACAAAAGAATTTGCACACGAATGAATAAACAAATGACCTTACAAATTACACCTAAAAGAATTTCCACACGAATGAATAAAACACAAACCCTACACAAACTGAACGTTCCTTCTCTGATCCGATCGATGCTTTAATCCTTTAAGTTGCATTTCCCACACCATTCTTGAATACTGCACTCCCTGTCCACGGTAAGCATGATCTCCAAGACCACACCCCATAGATTCAACCAAGCTCAAGTCATACATTCTTCGGGAATTTGGATCAGAAAGCACCTCATACGCCTCTCGTAACTCCACAAACTGTTTTGTGCATTCCTCCTTTATAGAAGATGGAGAAACGTCGGGATGAAGTTGAAGAGCTTTTGCACGGTATGCTTTCTTGAGGTCATGAAAACTAACATTCTGTGATTCCAATGAAAGAACTTGGTACAAATTCTTTTTGTTACCTATAGGCAGCTCTTTGACCCTGCATGATATAGTAGTTGCCATCTTGATGCCATTAATGTTACTCTCTTTCTTAAGCATCAGATCACTTTTCTGCAACACAAAGCTCATCTTCAAAGACATCGCCATTATGGTTGTTTTAGTTTATGTGTGTGTGTGTGTGTGTGTGTGTGTTTGACAGGAAGATGATGAAGTCTATGAGGAATGGGGCGACTTTGGGAGTATTTAAAGAAAAGAAAGATGAGGGGGGATTATTATATTAACAAGCTGGCAAATATATATAAGAAGCAGCACACGCTTTTGAATGTTAGATTGGCAAGTAGTGATCTCCATGTGGAAGTTTCCATGCGTTGTCTATTGTTTGCATCGATTTAAATTGTTGAACAAGTCTTGGTATCCGCTAATTCCTTTTAATTTGTTTAATAGTTGGAAATTGATCATTAATTTTTGATGTGTATTTAATCTCGTACGCGTAATTTTCGATGACGTTTTATGGGTTTTGTATACAAAAATAGTTTTTGTGTTTGTTCATGGTCGTATACAAAAAAATTGTTAGGGTATGATTCTCTAGATGCTTATATGGTTATCTTCACTGCTTATATCCTAATGTTAGTCATAATCATGGAAGTAAAGAATCGTCAAATGCTAGATACTGTTGGGGACTAAAACATCGTCAACAAGAAGTTCTATTCAAGACTTGTTGTATCATTCGAGATGCCATGCAATATTTCATGCATTTTTTGTAGGCGAATGTGAGACACTTATCGAGAAAATATTATGTTCATTTGCACACCATTTTTATTGGAATACATAAAGTTTCTTAAGCCATCTCTTGATTTATTATTATTATTATTATTATTATTATTATTATTATTATTATTTATTTTTTATTTTTTTGGAATAAAGCACTCCAAAGGAGCTGTGCTTAAGGTTCCATTCCACAAGCTTCAACTATATATTGGGTGGCCTTGCGGCCCTTGCCTTACTTTTGATATGCTGGTTTACCCGGTCCATGAAATTTGCAGGGCATTGTGTGGGTTAACAAAATTCGCATGGAGTTTACCCTGATTATAGAGAAAAGACATTTGTTAAACAATAATTTGTTTTATTATTAGTTAACAAAATTTGCATATATGTTTTCTTTAATGTGATTATTTGATAATAAATCACTAGAATCAAATTATTAACGTGCAGTGCTAAAATTAGTTATATATAGAAGTTTAACGTTAGTGTTGTTTGAAGTTTTAATAAAAGAATCAAACAAAGAAGATGATCAGCCGTGTAACACGTGAGGAAAAAATCTTTCAAATCCGGTGGAAATAATGGGGAAATAACCGGTGCTAGTGACTTTTGGATAATAATAAACAAAGATTGTAAATCAATTATAATAATTAACTATTCAGTTAAAAAAAATTATCATGACTCGGATCAATTAATAACTAGTGTCATACCCTTCCGGTGGACGGTTTGACCGATGTGATAACAATAGATTGATTTTATTTACTTCTAGAGCATCATTCTTTCATTTGTTTCTATAATAGCAATACACGATGAAATATCTACCCACTTATATTACATATGAATGAACAAAAGAATAGTAATGGATTAAAATAAAATGAAATGAAATCAAGTTCAAAAAAAATATTACAACAAAGGTCAAATCTATTGTTTTATTACATTCGAAATTCATTCTTATATTGTTTATTGTCGTAAATGTTTTAACAAAGTACTTTGTATTTTACCAGATAAATGCTTTAACCGGAGACATAAATAAAAGACCAAATAAATAATACAACACCTCATGAAAACGATGTCAAACTAAACTAATGCAAAACTTCATTTCTTATTTATGTTGTGACTCACTAAAAATAGCAACGTACTTTCTATGTATTATAGTTTTTGTGACTCGATGAGAATAGAAATGAATTTTTTTTTTGACTCACCGGAAAAAATACTTTCCAAAATAACTCGCTAAAAATATCATAAGGACCAAAATACCCTTTCCTCTCAGAATTGGTTTCACTATCATCCCCAGCCAACCCATTTCCTTTGGCCTAATTATTCTTTTAAGTTTAATTGATTTGGTCTCGTCCTAAACATTCATCTCTTTTTCTTTATACAATCTGACAAAAAGATCGAGTTTATAGGAACACCTAACAAAAAAATCAAGAAAGTTGCAACTTTTGCTTTTCATCCAAAAATGACACAAAAACATCTAGATGTCATCATCAACCATTCGGTTGTTTCAAAATTAATTTTCATAAAAAAAATAAAAAAAACCAAAATTTCCCTTGCTTTTTAACCCTGACTCAAAGTAAAAATTAGACTTCTCATCTCTAAGATCTTATTTTCTATTTATTTTTTTATCAGACGCCATAACATTTTGAATGGACCAAAATACCATTCATTCTTATTGAACCACCTTTTGCACCTAAAGAACTCAAATGGTTGATTTGTTAGCAGATCCAAATCCTATGACTTATCAAAAATCAAAACCCACTTCCAATTTCATAATTCGCGAATAAACATATAACATAAAACTATCAAGTTTACTTAAAAATCAATCCAATTTATGACATTGTGGATCTTTACATGTATCTCCAAACCTCACGACCAATCTAGAAAACACTTCAAGTTCCTCTCTACAAAAACCAATAATAAGAACATAAAACATAGTTTTTTTTTTAAAAAAAAAATGAAGAATTAGAAATCAAAGTTAAATGTCGTAATTAGACAAAAATAAAATAAAAAATAAAAGTACATTACTACTTCTTGCATCTCGCCCGATCAAGGCTAAATGCAAGATATAACAATGTACTTCCATTTGTTTGTCAAATATAGCATCACACTTTCATTTTTAACTCTTATTTAAAAAAAAATATATGTTTTTTTCTTATTATACCATTGTACTTTCAAAGTACAATGCTTAAATAAGAAAATAAAACAAAATTTCAAAAAATTGAAGAATTAGAAATGAAAGTTAAATGTTATAATTAGACAAACAAATAAAAGCACATTTCATCAAGCAACTTACATTTTTCATCAACTGATACCAAACCGATCGGGTCACTCACCAATTCCTGAAGCCTCGAACACATTAATGTCGCATTCTGATGCTCACGACAGGAATCGAAAACCAACTGATAAGATTCTGGTCTCCGATCGGAATCGGAATCGGGGACATGTAACTTAGTGTCCCAAGCTGAAAATGTATATATAAAAACAAGGTTAATGTCATATATATATAAATAGAGGAATTGAGTAAACTGAGAATCTCGTTGAATGTTTGTAGTGTCACTTTAAATAGCTTTTACGATACCAAAATCGGTAAGTTCGAAGGAGCCTTTGACAAGGAGAGAGTTGGCTAGCTTCAAGTTTGAATGCACAATGCGTTCCTTGTGAATGGTTTTAACAGCTAAAAGTATCTGATGCAAATAACAATGTACTTTTATTGATGTGCATACAATAGGATCCTACTTTTATTTCTTCCTATGACATCATTGTAAATAAATACCCAATAATAACAAATTTCACTGTTAGTCTGTTATAATGAGAAAAAAAAAAAGCAAAAATGCAGCTTCAATAGCATAAAAATTATCCGCCGATTCGTTTATTATTAAAATTGTTGAAATGGATTATGCACTCAACCTGGAAAGAATGACTTACTGAGTTAAGCCAATTCTTTTTTTTTTTTTATCTATTTTCCTTTTTTTCTTCCCAGTTCTCTCATGTTAAAATTGATTAATATTGTAAATTTTGTTTTTTTCTTAAATGTAAGGGTATATTGGTCATTTAGGCTCATGCACACGGTTTAATCAATCTATATTATATATAACAATTTATTGGACTTAATGGGAAAAAATAGCCCCTTAATATATGTTTTTATTCTACTTGATGCAAATAGAACGACTTAATAAAGAAACTCGGGAAAAGGAGGCTTTCCCCATTAACTGAGATGTTTTTTTACAATTTTTCCCTCATTAATTAGTTTATGAAATCTTTTTTAGGCATCATTTAAACAGATGACTATGAAGTAAGAAAAATAAATGATAGTGTTAATTACCTCAGGCCATGTTTGTGTGGTGAAGTCCAACAATGTCGTATAATGTTTCCTTGTACATAATTTTGGTCAATTTTAGTTGGCCCTTGTTTTTTTTCACAAAATGTCAATTGATTATTCACAATCATTTTTTGTAATATTGTTAAAACTTAAATGTGTAGCCATTAAAACTGATGTACCTTTACACAGAAGCTCCAGTGGCAAACTTCTCTCCAAGCTTCTTTGAAGTTTCACTCAGTTTAATAAATACATTGCATTATCATAATCCTATTGTCATAAAAAACACGGGAATTAATATATATATATATATATATATATATATATATATATATATATATATATATATATATATTAAAATGAAATAATAATTAATTATTATGCTCTAAACGAATGGCTAAAGTTAAAATTAATCTCAAACAAACACGGATATCTTGAGAAAAATATCTAGAATTGTTTCTTTAAGCTCTTTTGACTACCTGAATGCAGTGAATAGATGAATATTTATCACTCGGATTAATACCCTCTTTGGTATAACAATTAAATACAAACATATATTCATTGATGTCTTATACCAGTTATTTGTTATGCTAATGCATCCAACCACGATAAGAAGATGAAAACAGATCAAAATAAAACCTGCATGCTCATGTTTATACATGGTCAATGGCTGGAACAAAATCAAAGTAGTAAAAATAATTACATATATGAGAAATACTAACATATACACATAATGAAATTAAATTACCCAATGAATAAGCAGTGAAACCAAAGAACTTAATGGGAAACTACATGATTTCTTAACAAAGTAAAGCATGGTGAATCATGAATTAGTTGTCGATCAAAATACAAACTGGAAATTTCCCTTGTTCGTGAGTTAGAAGTCTTAGGATCAAAAATTGATCGAAGCATTTCATCAAACGCCTGATATGCATCAAACAAACACCAAACTCACTACTGATATCGATATTTATTTCTAATCAATTCACTAAACTTTTCTTTTTAATTTTCAATTGAGAAGGATTTCAGGTTAGTTCAAGAACAATAATTAGACGGAGAGAGAGATGGGGTTTTGCATATTATGAGAACGGGTGTGAATTCATCTTCCAGTTAATTAAACTCACATGACCTGAACCAGAAGGAGATAAAGAAACTCAGCTGATCAGAAAGAAGAAGATGAATAAGGAGGTTTATAGGCTGATGAGTACGACGTGATTTAGCAGTTACCGAATAAGAGGCATCCACCCAATCGTGGGTAGAAGAAGCAGGAACCGATCGAATGAACAAACAACCGCCAAATTGGAGTTTATGCGGCTCAGATTGAAAGTTATATAGGAGTTTTAAGGCTAGGATTTGGACGACGGCGTGTATTAATAATTTCAACTAGCGCCTGAATTAAAAATATAATAACCGGATATTAGATAATGAATTTCAAAAGGATTTTAAATACAACCGTAATTTTAAATACAACCGTAATTTTTAAAACCGATCCAATCCGATTTAAAACTGACATTTGTATATGCTATAAAAATATCATTTTGATCTATCATGTTTTCAAAAAGACAAACAAAGAACAACTAACATATAAAATACACATTTAATCTATGCATTCTCTAATGTACTTATAAAACACAGTCCTATTGCGGCTTTTTGTTGATACAAGGATTTTGAGGCTGCCAAGAAATATTTTAACCTTTAACCACCTAAACGATCCCGATAGCTTAGAAATACATTTTTTGAAGTTATAAAAATATTCAAATGCCCGTTTTGACAACTTAATCATCACAAAACAAGGTGTTTTGGTTGTTGGTACCCTTATTTGAACAACAATATGAATTTCGCTAAAGTTTGACATCCAAACTAACTTTGGGAAAATGAGACAAAAAATGACGTTAGATATATTTTCCATACAGGTTTTGCAAAACCCAATTCATGTCAGATATGTAAACGGGTTATATACTTATATATGTTCGGTGTTCCATGTCAAAATCCCGTTTTATTTCGATCTAATTGTTGGTGATTCGATCACCAAATATATTTTAGTGTAATGGATTTAACAAGTGTTTCAAGAATAATGTTTTAGTTATAATACAAGTTAGGAGGTGTGGGAGTGCACACTTGTATTTACTAAACATTGTTAGTACTGAACCCTAATCTGTCATTCTTTAGAGATGCAAATTCAAGGACTAATCTGTCTTTTCTGAAAGATGTAAACTGTTCTCGTTTATCCGTTGAGTGGATAAGTCCGGGAAAAGGACGACTTCTTTGAAACACAGAAACACAGAAACGCTTTCTACTTCATCTTCTTCTCAAAATTGATTCTGATTTTGTGCCTAAAATCAGAATTGTTACTTCAGGAATTATCCCAGTTTGGATTTCGTGACACCCAAGGCATTTAGGGTCGAAATATCAAACAAGGAAAGTGTTTACACGATTCCTGTTTGTGATCCAGATTTTCTATAACCCTAATTCGATTCCCCAACAATCTTGTTTGATATTCTCGTTTTTCTGAAAAAGATGGCTGGCAATTCATTGAAAGACATGAATACTTCGTTTGGCAAATTGGAGAAATTTCGGGGCCAAGATTTCAGACGTTGGCAAAAGAAGATGCACTTCTGGTTGACCACTTTGAAAGTTGTCTATGTTCTTTCTACTCCAAAACCAGAAGAGGTTGAAGATGCAAGTCTGGAACAAATCAGAAGGAGAAGCAAATGGGAGAATGACAACTACATCTGCCTTGGTCATATTCTGAATGGTATGTGTGATTCCCTCTTTGACACTCATCAAAACATTGAAACAACAAGTGAATTATGGAACACACTTGAAGCAAAATATATTGCAGAAGATGCTTCACGTAAAAAGTTCATTGTTTATGATTTCAACAATTATAAAATGGTTGATTCTCGATCTGTAATGGAACAATATAATGAAATCCTACGAATTTATGGTCAATTCAAACAACACAACATGTCCATGGACGAATCCTTTGCTGTTTCAAGTGTGATTGATAAACTTCCACCCTCATGGAAAGATTTCAAACACCATCTGAAACATAGAAAGGAAGAGATAAGTTTGATTCAACTTAGGAGTCATTTGAAAATCGAAGAAGGACTTCGTGATCAAGAGAATGACAAAGGAACTGGAAAGGGCAAATCTGATTTTGGACAGCCCCAAGTTCATATGGCTGAATGTGATAAAGAAGACAATTCTAATCACAATGGCAAGGGTAAAAAACGTAAGTATGAGGGTAACAACAAAAAGTCCAACAAAAAATACAAGGATTCCAAGGAACTTGTATGTTGGAGATGCCATCTGAAAGGGCATATGAAACGTGACTGTCGGGTGAAACTTGGAAATAAAGGTGCAAGTGGTAGTGGAAAAGATGATGCTGGTGTTGGCAGTGGATCTCATGATCAATCTGCAACCAAAGGTCAATTTACATGTTAGGCACAAAATCAGAATCAATTTTCTTTATAAATTAACATGTTAGGGAAGAATCGTTTCAAAATGAATTCTCCCAAGATACATCCATTCAATTAAATTATGAATCTATGTCAATTCCTAATATATGAATTGTCCTAAAGATTCAAAACCTATTTTCGGACTTTTTCTAAAAAAATATAGAACAAAATCCAATGAATTTAAAACTTATTTTTCGGTAAATCAATTACAATTTTTTTTTGTAAAATGTCTAAAACTTATTTGACATCTTTTCTGTCAAAATGTTCCAATTTCATAAACTATTATTCAAAAGGTCCAAAAGGTCGGAACAATGTTATATATATTGGACCTTTGTAAGTCGAAGAGTCAAACTCTAAATCTACTCAAAGCCAGATGCGGGCTTGGGCCCAAATATATAACCCTTTATATTTCTGTAACGGTGTCGTTTCGCCTTTCGACTTTCGTCCCACCGAACTTGTGGAACAAGAATTCCTTATTTCAGTCAAAGTCTTCTCTCCTAGGGTTTCAGTTCCAATATCAAAACCCCTTTACTAAACTGATATTAAATTTGTAAATATAAACATCTCATCGATCCTTCAAGTATGGTGAAGAAATCAGCGGAGACTGGTGGTTTAACGATTGCGCCATTTCTGTCTAAATGTTATGAGATGGTAGATGATCCTTCGACGGACGCTTTAATTTCATGGAGTCCGACTAGTGACAGTTTCATAGTTTGGAATGAATCCGAGTTTACTTCCGAATTGCTTCCCAAATATTTCAAGCACAGTAACTACGCCAGCTTTCAACGCCAACTCAATATCTATGTGAGATTTCTATTATTCTATTCGTTTCTTGATTTCTTAACTGGTTATTTGTTGAAAGATCAATCTTTAAATAGATTTGATTATTTCACATAGTTTATCTGATTCTTTGGCTTATTATCATCACCGTAATCTCGTTTCATTTATAATTTTGTTACTCGGAATTCAGTCACAGAACATTGGGTTCCTTAAATTGAGGAACAAAACTTATTGATTAACCTGAGTTCTAGCAACCAAAATAACCAATAATTTGTCGATTAATACTCACTTTCTTGGAAACCCTAGAATCCAATTTTGTGCGATAAGATTATTCAAAGGGGATGACTTCATGTTGAAGTAAGAATCCAATTTTTTGCACTAAGGTTATTCAAAGGGGATGCCTTTATGTTTAAGTTGATAATGTCTTTAAGGATGACTTATCAGAAACACTATCTGCAACTTACCAATGGATTCATAAAACCGAATGAGATTCAAGAAATCTTGAAAAACCAGTATAATACCCATACATAGACATAATCCACTATCTTAATCCTAATTTTTTCAGGGGTTTAGGAAAATCGATACAGATAGATGGGAATTTTGCAAACGAAGGATTTATCAAAGGCCAAAAGCATTTACTGAATTCCATAAACAGAAAAAAAGTGACACATGTCACATCTCATCAAAAAGTTACACATGAAAAAGCTCCAGAGTCCAAACTCATACATGTCACCACACATGATGAAAACCGATATGCAAACTTAAGAAAAGAAGTAGAGAATCTTAAGACAGATAAAAACGCATTGATGCAAGAGCTTGTGAAACAAAGACAACATCAAGATAATTCACAAACAAAAATGTTGGTTCTTCGTGAACAGCTAAAAGGTATGGAAAAAAACCAACATCAAATGTTGTCATTCATAGTTATGGCAATGCAAAGCCCTGGTTTTTTAGCTCAATTATCAACTCCAGTTCAAACCACATGGCTCAAGAGTGAAAGTAATAGCAAAACCATATTGAAACCTGTTGTTGAAGATACTGAAGACACTGAAGATACTGAAGAAACTGTGATTCTTCCTCATGAAGGTGCAATTGTGAAATATCAACCACCAGTTGAATTTCCACAAGATGGATTTGAATTTGAGCTTAGTTCTGAGGAAGTGAAGGATTTGTTGAAGGATTTTGATCCTGAGGTGACATTTGATGAGAGGATTGAAAGTTTTGATCCGTTTGTAATCCATGATAATGGTGATGATATGTTGGATCAGCTTCTTTCGAGTCCTTTTTCAGAGAAAAAATAAAAGTGTGAAAGATTTTATTGATGAAGAACATGGATTTGAGGAAATTGGAATGGAATCGATGGATAGGTTTAGAGTTTTGACAGAAGAATTTGAGAAATCTTTGAGTGTGTCAACCATGGAATCTTGATTTCATGGAGTTGAGTTTTGGTACTTTAAGTTGACTTCTACTTTTGTATATTGTTAAATGTGTATAAGCCGGTTTTCCATGGGAAAACATGTTTAGAGAAACGCTAAAAAGTTCTCCATATACGAATGTTATTTTCCACCTCTATTGGGTGATTAAGATTGTAATCGTAGTTATAAAAGAATTGATATTCTTTTGCCATGAAATGTCTTATGCTTACATTATTTGTCATTGATAGATCGTTTGTCCCATATTATTTTTGGATATTACCCATGACTATGAGTAACATACCAATCACATTTTGCTATAATATGTTGTTCGACATGTGAGATATGAAATAAGTGTGAAGCTCAAAGAAAGAATACACTTGAAAATAGTTTATGATATTTGCCTTCGGAATTTTAGAGGCCGAAAGTGTTTAAAAGGGTCAATTGAAAATATGGCCAAAAGATAAGATGGATATAATGAATTTACCACATTTTCTACATATAACACAAGATAAGCAATGCGAAACAACTATGGCTTTAAATGGTGTTGCTTGTTTTCACAATCCTGTTTTTCGTAGTGGAATTAACCTCTTCAAGCCAAAGGTTTTGTGACTAAAATAAGTTGATATTGTAAAGTTTTGTTTGTTAATATGAAGAAAGGATTTGTCCCATATTGGTAGATTGTAAAAATATGAAGTTGGTTTCATGCCTTCAAAAGTAGTCTAAGGTTTTAGTTCAAAAATGTCCCAATTAAACACTGTTTTTTTTCATTTCCTCTTTTTTTTAGCATTTTGTTTATGTGCTTGGCATAAATTTTTAACGTAGTAAAAAATTCTTGGTGTCATGGTGATGTTTTTGTTTTTTGAGCTCTTAAATTTTCTTTATTATTTGTCATTTGGTGGATTGGGTGGTTTTCGTTTATGGATTTCTCAAGTTTTCTTTATTCTTGTTTCATGAGGTGGATCATGTTTGTCATACGGTGGATTGGGTGGTAATTTTTTTTATTTTTGTTGTTTTGGAGTTCTTACGTTTTCTTTATTCTTTTTCATTTGGTGGATTGTTGGGAATGTTTAAGACCATTTTTCCAATATTAACAAATATGAGACTGGTACAATCACCTTCTTGAATTCCAAGAAATCGCCCCTTTTTTTTTTTTTTTTTTTTGCACGGCGGAAAAAAATAAAAGAACTAGACAGAAGGTAGAAAAAACCAAGAACAGTTACATAATTGTTAGTCTAGGATCCTGCAACCATCCTACCCAACTGATATAGTAACCTTTTAATCTAGAATTACACCAAATATAAGATTGAAAAACAATATCATCAAATAAAAAAGACTTCTTCAGCTTCAAATTCCCAACCAACAGGTGGTTCCTAAACTTTCATATATGCCACCACATTACATAAAAAAATTGCTTCCAAAACTTCCTTATCTAATAAGCCCGTTCTCAAAGAACCAAACACGCCACCCGCTCACCATATAAAGTCAAAGAAGGAGCCAAAATCCCCCACCGGAGAAGAAAACGACCCAACTCATTGCCCATGGATAGAGAAAAACCGTTTCAACATCAAAAATGACAAAAGGCGATTCTAACTATTTTTTTAGTTACTTCGTTCAACAACTCCATAACAATCGCACAAGAGAAAAAAAAGGCGAGCAACAGATTCAAGGGTACCCTCACATATCGGGCAAATCAAGCATGGGACCTCCGTACCTCTTTTTACCAGATTATCCTACCTTTTTTACTAGATTATCCGTAGTTGGTAACCGATCAAGAAACAATCACCAAACAAAAACATTTACCTTAATAGGGACAATCTTTAGCCATCTAGTCGGGCTCCCTGACACCTCCAATAAAGAGTCATCAATGAACCGTCTCGTAGAAGAGACAATGAACTCTCCAGAACCCAACAAGCTCCAACTCCATCTATCATCAGTGGGAACCAAAGATACATTCTCCAAGACATGTAACAATCCATTGTTCCTCTTCTACACCACCTCTAGGCAACCTGCAAAAAGAAGAGGAAATCGTAGGCTGGTCCCTCTCATTCTCTAACACAAAAAGCTATGAAAACAAGACATGAAATGCCTATCTCCAACCCACACATCTTTCCAAAAAGACATTTCAGAACCATTACCAACTCTCTTGTGATAGATGGAAAACAAATTGACACTTTTAGATAATAAATGTCGAATACTAATAATCAGATCCAGCCAAGACGAAGACTTAGAACATGTCGAAGTCTTCTCAATCCCGCCATAATTCCCATGAATAACTTTCACCACTCTTACCCAAAAAGCATCATAATGAATACGAAACCTCCAAATCCATTTGAACAACAAAGAACGGTTGAGGGTAAAGAAGCTATTCACCCCAAGATCACATACCTCCTTATTAGATAAAACTTTATTCGAAGACACCCACGTTATCTTCTTTTCTTCCAAACCAACCACTATAAAGAAGTTATTTCTCAAAGACTCCAACTTTTGATAGAATACCCATCGATACCTAATACTCCCTCCGTCCCAATATTATTGTCCACATACAAAAAACACACATATTAAGAAAAATATTAATTACCACTAACTTTATTTAATAAAATGACAGTTTTGTCCTTACTTTGCATTTAATGTTCCATTAAATGCTTAGTTGGTTAGGTAATAATGAGGGGGTATTTTGGTAAAAATGTTATTTATTTTTAGAAGTGGACTATTATTTTGGGACAAACCAAAAAGGAAAGATGGACTATAACTTTGGGACAGAGGGGGTATAAGGACTTAAATTATTAAGGCAACGACCCAAGCACTGACTTTAAGAGAGTTAGTCTCCCAACAACTGATAATGTCTTCACTTTCCACTTCGAAAGTTTAGACACCACTTTTTGAACCATTTCTGTCTGAGAGGACAATCTAGACATATTTCCCCATACACTAACACCTAAGTAAGTGAAGGGTGTTTTCATAGCTGCACAACCAACCTGGTAAGCCACATCTTCGAATTTAGTAGAAGGCACACCTACCCTTAACAATTTACTTTTCGGTTGTTGGATTTCAAAAAAGCTATATGCCGAAATGATCATGCCTCCCGACTGTCTTGACTAGATAATCCTTTATTTGATAGCCTTTCATTTTTATTGGGATTAGTGATGGATCTAGCTTTTTGTTATCAGATATCCTTAGTTGCTGATCATTTATAGCATTATAGGTCGTTTCGTGTTTGGAGCGCCTACTCATTGGTTGGATCGTTGTTAGTTGCCCAGGTAGTTGTTCAGGTGGGTTTTCTCGCTATACTCTGTACTACAATATGTATCATTTGTATGATAGGATGTTGTTATGTTGTAGTATGATGTTAGGAAAATAGATAGTTAATCAATTGCCTTTTGTATTGGATTGTTTGGTTTTCTATTTGTTAAAATATGTGTTGACATATCAGGTTGTGAGTTAAAGGCGGTCCAACTTTATGTTGAAAGCCAAGATACTCAGGTCAGACCAAATTTATGATGAAATCTAAATGGGCGGACTATTGGGGTTTCGACGAAGAAACCCAAGGGATTTGATTCTAGATTGAGGGGCCAGTGGGGCCGAGGCAGCTATGGCAAGTACGGCAAGACTCATGATGGAGCCTGCAGGGTGGGTGGTTCGAGTTGCTATAAGTGCAGCAAGTCGGGGAACTTTGGTAGGGATTGTACTGCTATGATTACCATCTAGGGATCTGATCTGATTTGCTTCCATTGCAATCAAAGGGGCCACAATAAGGCCAATTGTCCATGTTTAGCATCAGGAGGACCAGTAGCAACACCTGCTCCAGCGACTCTGAGGATTACAAATGGTCACCAGGGCAAGGCGGAGGCGCCCGTTGTTCAGAGCAGGGCATTTCAACTGACAGGCGAGGAGGCCCGTGCAGCACCCGATGTGGTCACTAGTATGTATCTTCTCCTAATCTTCTTATTTATATTATTTGTAATGCTTATATGTGGTATTGTTATATAGGTTCATTCGTTGTGAACGGTATCCCTGCGTTGGTCCTATTAGATTCGGGGTACCCGATCTTTTGTATCCCTTGCGCTTAGCAAGAGATTTGATGATGTCCCAGGAGATTTGGATTATCCACTAGAGGTTGAGATTGTTGATGACCGTCCGGTGTGAGTGTCGAGGGTTCACCGAGGATGCATCTTCGAGATATTCAGTGAGCCATCTTGGATTGATCTGGTTCAGATTCCCCTACGTGAGAGCTATTTTATTTTGGGGATGGATTGGTTGAGCCCCAATCCATCTGTAGACCTTTGTAGTGGAAGAGGTGGACCAAATGTCTGCAGTCTGCAAGAGGAAGACTGATCGTTTTTTAAAGTCTGCAGTCTACTAAAAATAATTGATTTTTTAAAACTTAAAAGACTTTGAAAAGAATATTAATAAACAAATTATAATAATTTACATACAACGTACAAAATTTAACAATTTCCGTTGCATTATGAAGCAATAAAAGGATCATTTTTAAGACATTCATAAACAAATTTTAAGAATCTACATATTATGAATCAAAATACCCATAAAAACATTACATTGCAAAATTATCCAAGCATCAAACTCCAAGCTCTAAACTACATTCCTATGACGTCAACATTATATTCCAGCTTTGGGTAATCAAAATAACCAAGGCCAATCAACAATGGTGGCTTGCCAATTAACATTTCCAAACCAATCACGAGATCAAGAACAAATTAGTCCCAAATATGACTAATATACAACAATAGTAATACCTTTTGTAATAAAAGTATATATTTTGGATCAATGAGTCCACTGAGTTGAAATTTTTGAGAAACTAGTAAGGAAATCAACGTGTATTTGAATATGTGTTTGATATTAAAGATACTTTCCCAATTATTGAACTGCAATGTCAATAATATTGAAAGACTTCAAAGTAATGCAAGAAAGGGAAATTTCATGTAACGCCCGCAGATTCGGGCTAGTCAATTTAGAGACAATAAGCATCAAAAATGGCTTTTTGATGGAAGATTATTTAGAATGAATAATCTTAACTAAGTTGTAGTATATGTCATAAGGGTTTCGTACATATAAAGAACGCTGAAATACGAGTTATAACGAAGAAGTTATGACCTATCGAAGTATCGCGACAAAACCGGCATGACGCTGTGTGACGTAAAAAGTGAGTTTATGATAAAGTACTTT